CGCGCGCACACGCACAAACTGACACACACGCGCGTGCGCGCGCGCACGTGCAGCACACACGCACGCACAACGTGCACGCACGCACACATGCGCCACACACAAACCCGCACACACACACACGCACGCACGCACACACGCGCACACGCGCACACACACACGCCCACGCGCGCGCGCACGTGCATGCGCACACGCACACACAGACACGGGCACAATGACCTGTCTACTCGAAATACTATCGTATGTAACACTACAAGCAATATATGAGATAACAAGTGGCCATAAAAAAACCTTATTAATATTTAAAAATCCTTCTCGAATGATCTTTCACCCGTAAATATTCATCGTCGTGGGCCCGCCTATGCGCCTTAAAAATACTGCTGCTTTATGAATCACAACCTATATATGGAGTATATAATAACAGAGGTAAATAAAATCAGGATGTTTTTACCATTGATTTAGGACATGCCAAGATGTAAATATCTAAGCAAGGTTTGAGCAAGAAGAACTGAAGAACAAGTCTTGTCATCAACAGCTAAATAAGTGGGTCAAAGCAGGCACCTCATGTCAAACTAAGACCCCATTTGGCAGCCATTTCCAGCTTATACTGTATCAACTCATAATAAGGGCTTGTTCGTTAAGGGTTGTTCAGATGGATTTTCATCAAGTAAAAGCATTTAGTAGAATCAACTTCATCCAAACAAAACAAAGTAAAAGTCTACTTGTTATGACTAATGTGTAGTGACTAACTTGTGATTATATGAGCAAACATTTAATGTCCCATTTAGGAAGGTATTGTGAGTGGTGAACAATAGGTAGGTCTGAAAATGCATATAAATTGCCCATTTCTTTGAAAGTTAGAAGGCTGAAATTTGAAAAAGTACTTGTAGTTACAAACCAGCATACACTCTTGTTTACTTACAAATAGGCATGAACCCGGTTCAGGCCACCCGGCCCGCTACTGTGCGGGCCCGGCCCGGCCCGCTACTGTGCGGGACCGGCCCGGTCCGGTGCTTCGGGTCCGAACCCGGTCCTTGACCCGGTTTGAAGGCATAAGCGGGGGCGGGCTCGGGCTGCATAAATGGGGTTCCGGCCCGGCCCGGCCCGGCTCGGGCAAAAACTATTTTTTTTCCCCAGTTTTTTGGGCTTCCCTGGGTTGGGCTTGATGTTTTGGGGGACTTTGACGGGTTTGGGGGGGTGGGGGGTGGGGGGGTCAAGGGGTAGTTAGGAAAGCAAAAAAGAAAATTACAACCCACCTCGAGGCCCGGCCCGAACCCGATGGCAATCTGGGCCGGTCCCGGGCCTTCCCCCAAACACAAAAGGCCCGACCAGGCCTAGGCCCGGCCCGGCTCCATGCCTGCTTACAAAGCTCAAACTTGTGGTAATTCTTGCTTCTATCATTATGTTCTCCTCTTCTGAAAAGGGAATTATTTTTGTACTCCGTATTACTTAAATTTACGGGAATCTAATTCAAACATGAATTATGAAAACCATTTACTTTTTCATTTATCATATTTTCCGTATAAATTATACTCTGTGTCTCTATCTGGTCTTGCATTTCTTTTTTATTTACCTTGTTCATTTTACAAACTTATTATCCTCCACTCACTACGTGATTAAATAAAGTTGGTCCAATTGAAGGACGGTAAGGTAAATCAAAGCACTTCACTTATCTTCACCACAACTGCTTTGCATTAAACAGAATTAAAGATGTCTCATATATTTTGGTATGGATGGATTAGTTGGTAAAACTAATCAAGTAATAAAATTTAAATAGGCAACTAATAACAAATGATTATGGCAGTGGAATCATTTTCATGTTCATGATTTTTACATTTTTAAAAACCAGAAACAAGAGTAAGCTTAGTCTATTCACCAACAGCAAAAGCAATTGGATCTTCAGCAACTACATTCTCCATAGCTATACCCTAGTACTCAACATTATCCTCATCAATGGCACTTGCAAAAGAATTGAAACCAAGCAAAATCCTTTATACAAAGAGAAAATGCAAATCCATTGGAATTGTGTGATTTACCCATCTCTTCTAAATCTCCAAATCGTGGAAGGAATAAATTATCTTTTCACAAAACAGAAAAATCATTAGGAAACAAACAAGATTCCGTGTCGATACAATCCCAGAACCAAAGAACTAAAAATGGCCCAAACAGACACAATCCACCAAGCCATGAACAAAACCAATTCTTTATCCAGCCATGCGCAAGGCAAGAAGCTACAACCATCACGACCAATTACAGACAAGCCATTGAAGAGAAGAACCATAGCTGCAGGAACAAAATACTGCAAAGCCACAAGACATAGATAATGGTTGTGAAGGAAAACCTTTGCCCTACTATACTCCAGCTCGGGCACTTTGCTACAATGCAATCTTTGGTACCAACATAACACTGCTTCATTCAAATACATTTGCACGTTTGACCGAAGAGTCAAAATCTGAAGAATGCCCGAAGCTAATAAACACCAATGTCTAAATCTCTCAAAGTCTGATCTACACATTCCCACAAAATTCTTGTCCACAAGTATTTCAGAGAAAGGAGTAATCCAAAGCAATGAAGTAAAAACATTCAAGAAATAGTTAATGTAAAGAAGCATTCTTGGAAACCATCCACAAGAGATTATTGACAAATTAGAACGAATCTGATCCGTTCCAAGCCAAAATGACCGGGCTGCCCTCAATGCTGGTGTACAAAGGAGGCCGGCAATGCAGCCCATGAAAACAGAAGTTATCAGCTTCCCAAAACCATCCAATGATCCGCAACTAAAATCAAGAATCCATTTTGGGACAACCCCAGATACTACGATTAGTCCCAAGACAAACCCTAAAACCCCAACCAAAAAACTCAATTTCTTCTCTATACTCTTGGAAGCCGACCTCTCAAAAGCAGTCCTAGCTAATGAGGTAGACATCCTACATAATGCAAAACATCCTAATAAGATAGGAACAATAGATCCGTTCCCGAACAACCCGGCATCTTCGGATTTCCCCAAGAACAGGTCAAGCAAGAAGCAAGAAAGAGCTAAGACAGTGGAATTGAAAGCACTTTTGAACTCACTGAAATAAATTCTCGTTTGGAGGTGAGAGCCGATGAGCTTTAGCCTAAAGATCTGAGCTTTAGTTTCATCGAATTCAAATTTTTCCTTGGAGGGTTTTTTTCTAGGTCTGAGTTCAGAATCAACACTACCTGGGCGTCGAATCGCAGCCCTGACACCATTTGATGAAGGGGCGGGGTTGACATCGTCTGGGTGGACATAGGTGAAGAGGCCATGGAGAAACAAATCCGAGATATTGAAGAAGTAGAGGAGGAAAGTGAGTGAAAGAGCGAGCGCCGCTTGGAGAATGGAGTTTCTGTATGAGAATGCAAGTGCAGGTAAAGAAGCGAGCATTATTTTATCAGATTCAGCGAAGGACTTTGCTGTTGAGGATGGTTTTGCAGCGAAGGGACGAAATAGGGGAGAGGAGACCCAAGATTCATCTTCATGAATCATGATCATTTTCTAATGATATTAATCAAATGGTTCAAAACTTCAAATTGGAGGTAGAGAAGATGGGCCTCGCAATTTTCTGTTCGGCAGTCATATAAGGGGTGAAACCCAGTTGAGTCGAATCCTATCCTTACAAGCAGTGGCCCAACCCAATAGGGGATCCCGGCGTCCCTGCCTTGGTTAAGTAGACAAGGAGGGCGTCTCGCTATTTTTAATCCTTAGATCAAAAAATGAATGGTAGAAGATTAAATGCCTCATTTTTACACAAATCTCGGGCCTGACTTTTACTCTTGTTATTTCATTTGGGTAAGACACTGTGCCTTATGGCAGAGGATTTCGATCCCCCAATAGGGTCTTTTCAAATAATTGCAAAACGTTTTTGAGAGACGGTGAAAGTTTTAATTTCTGAAGAGTTTTCTGAACGTTTTATATTTGTTTGGTTACAGACTAGAGTGAAGTGCGAATAAAAGCAACAAAGTGAAAGATAGAGGAAATACTATTTTCAACATGTCATGTTACTGTTTGGCCCGGCCCGGGGCCCGGTGGGTCCACCGGTTCGGTTCGGCCCGGACCGGCTGCTGGGCGGTTCGGGCTCGGGCCCAGTTTTTGGTGAACCGGCCCGGCCGGTTCGGGCCCGGTTGGGGGCGGTTTTGAATTTTTTTTTTGAATTTTTTTTAAGTTTTGGGTTGGATTAGGTATTTTGGGCCATTTGAGGTGGTTTGGGGTGGTTTGGGGTTGAGGGGGAGGGGTTGGGGGTTAAATAGAAGAGCCAAAAAAAAACAAATAGAACCGGTTAGGCCCGGCCCGGCCCGGTTTGGCCCGGAACCGGAACCGGAACCGCCCACCGGCAGTTCGGGCTCGGGCCCAACTTTCCTGGCCCGAGGCCCGGCCGGGCCCGGGCCCGAACCGGCCCGAGTCCACCACTAGTCATGTACCTAGTGGCCAACTCAGGAATTCCCAACTAAATGGACAGTAGTGTAAGATTTTACATATTAATACATACAAAGTAAATATTACAATTTTGAAATAATTATATCTAATTAAAAAGGAGAGGCTCTTGAGTCTTGCCCCCCCTCCCCCCATCTGGCATCTGCTACTAATTATGTTCACTTTGATAGAAGTAGTTAAACAAAAAAAAAGCTTTTAAAAACATACAAGTAGTTTCTTCTTTTATGTTTTTTGGGTATTTAGTTCTTTGACCAAACATGACTCTATTTTTATGAACAGAGCCAACTTACTTTGTTAATAGGGCATTTTTTCCCAAGTTGCAATTCCGTCCAGAGTTGGAAATAAGCAGCTATTGTTGGAGATGCACTTTAAAGAGTTCAAACAAAGATGTGTTTTGAGAGTTGTGTACATTTGCGAACCTCTAAAAGAGTAAAAGCTACACTAATGAAATAAAAAAGATTCTGCTAAACTCTCAAAAGTTGTGTTTTGGCTGTCATATAGGGTAAAAAGAAACACACTGTAACTAAATGCGCAAAAATGATACTATTAACCATCTGATCAAATGGGCACAATGATATGTCTACTGGAAATGTGCAACACACTAACACTACATGGCAATATATGAGACAAATCAGACAATAAGTAGCCATCAAAACAAAAAGCCTTATTAAAATTTAAAAATGATCCGCATTGTAGAAATACAATCAGATTATAACCTAAAAAACATTTCAGAAGTCTATTTACACTTTCACAAGTTCATAACTGCGCCTGGAGAAACACACAAAGGCAAAGTGTCCAAACCATTGTCATGGCACTAAATGATGATGAAAATAGCTCTGTAAAAGCAGAGGATTATTTTGGAATCAGCTTCTAAGCTCCATCAGTTGGTGAAGAAGACTGTTTAGACTCATGGCCTTTCCCAATGTCCACATCCTTATTATTAGCTGTCACAATTAAAGATGACGATGAAGACTCACAACCTCCATCTCTCTTCTTCTCAGCACTGCTCTCTTCATCGGATTCCTCTTCAATGGTAAAAGATCCTTCTCGAATGAGTTCTTTCACCCGCAAAAATTCATCGTAGTGGGCCCGCCTATGCGCCTTAAAGCTACTTTCTGAATCATGACATACATATGGATTATGGAATATATAATAACAGAGGTAAATAAAATCAGGATGCTTTTCCCATTGATATATGACATGCCAAGATGTAACTATTTAAGAAAGGTTTGAGCAAGAAGAAAATGGATTGTTGTCAACTGCTAAATATGTGGGTCAAAGCAGGCACATCATGTCAAAGTCAAACAAAGACCTCATTTGGCAGCCATTTCCGGCTTATACTGTGTATCAACACATTAAGAATAATAAGGGCTTGTTCGTTAAGGGCTATTCAGATGAATTTTCATCAAGTAAAAGCATGTAGTAGAATCAACTTCATCCAACAAAACAAAGTAAACATCTACTCATTATGATTAGTAATTATTCTGTTTCTAAGCAACATAATCCAATTAATGCTACTAAACTGGGACCGATCTTTCCACCTGCCGTATTCGGCTAGAATGGATGTTAACCAACTTTTTTCACTTCAGCCAAATAAACCTTACCAACAGGTCCCTATAACCTTTTCAAAGTCATAGTGGACGTGATCTTTTCCCCACGACCCCACCACAATTTAGCAATGGACAACCACTGCCTGCCTTGGAGAGAATCCAGATCTTAAATAGAAATATAAGGGATCCAAGAATCGTTAACGGGGTGTTTGGAAGTGATTCTGCTTCTACTTCTTTTTTAAAATCAAAAGTAGATTCAGAATAAGTTTTTTAGAAGCTGGTCTCCCCAAACTTCTAAAAAGCTGCTCTTCTAATAGCAATTTGGAACACTTGGAAGTACTTGCACTTTCACCCAAATTCTAATATCTGCTTCAGCGCGCAGAAGCACTTTTAAGAAGTAGATCCAAACACCCCCAATAGGCCAATACTACTTGAAAATTTTAAGATAGTGAGTAAGATTACCTTCACCGTCATCTTCTTCATCCATGTAATCAGCCTCATCCTCGGATAGTGGCCAACCAGTGGGGCGTAATTTATCTTTGCCACAAGACGCAACATCATTCAATGCATTCTCTACCGCTTCAGCACGAACTCCATTATCACTTCCATCATCAAAGCTATTCCGCACAGGTGACAAAGATCCTATGCCAATCACTGGATCAGTACTTACTACTTATTATAGCCTATAGGAAGAGATACAGATATAAAGAAACTGAAGCAGTCCATCAGTGAACTGATCTTTATCAGTAGCATTACTGAATGGATTGTTCTGTAAAACCTTGTTTGATTGGGGGATCTTAAGAAAAGACAGGAAGAGGTGATACTTATTTTATAGTCTGTACGAATTATTACTATGTTACTCAACTACACAAATACTGACTCTGTCCCAAACAAAATCTCTGTTTAGAAGAAAATTTATCCTAAATAATTTTCAGTTTAGAATTGGAACACGACACACTTTTTTACAAATTTTACAAATTTTCCCATGCTAATGCTTCCTATATTAAATGATTTTATACCTTGTGAAGAAATAAAATACATGTAATGTTATCTTCAATAAATATACAATGACCAGTTTAGTAAGGTAGGACTCATTTAGTATATGTGCAGTTGTGCACTTTAGATATGAAAATTATTTTGGGGCGAAGGGAGTAGGTTTTTTTTTGAAAGGGCAATGGGAGTAGTTATGCTCTAATGTAAGTATGTAACACTAGAAAACACATCCTTTCTCCTCCAAAATACGGATCAACATATAGAAAACACAATATTACAATCACAACCTTGTTTAGAGTAGAATATCTAATAACCGATGTGACAAAACCAGATGAGGTTAATTGGAAAATAAAAAAGAAAAATGAAAAAAGGCAGAATTATTACGTCATTATTGATGAGGTTAGTCAGAAAATACAAAAAAAAAAGGAATAAACAAAAGCAACATGAGAACACAAAAATTATAGAACCTTTTAGTCCTTCACATAAGGGAAAACTTGATATAAACAGAAATACAGAATGCATTGTTGACATCTCATTTACATTAAACTTTCAAAAACAAATTCCTTGGTAAATGTAATAAGGAAGACTAGCGAGTTTAAAAGAAGAGAAAATGATAATATACCATCATCATCAATCATTGGGTGATAAGGCGTCTTTGGCTCAGTTATTTTCTGCCTCACTGGTTTGTTTGCCTCAATTTCCCCTAGATTACTTTCATTCCATCTGACGCGACCTCTGGCACATCAAGAGCAGAAGCACTTTAAGCCAATCACATTATAATATTACCTTCTTTTAGCCTAAAGGAAATTCAAACTTTTAGCGCCTTAAGCGTTACACACTATGCAATGCGGCCCTTTTGTTTCAGTGTTCGTAAAGGAACTTTCCACATTGTTTTAAAGTGTAAACTCGATCTCTTGCTTCACTGGCTAGTTTAATATTGTTTCTTAGAGATAAGTGAAACAAAAATGCTGAATTCCAAATTCATCCCTTGAGGGTTCAAATATAAAAAATAAACTGTGTTAGGCAAGTACCACTTAGAAATTAATATTTGAATGAAAGACCATATTTTGAAGGAGAGAGGTTTACGACATTAGTATATTGAAATGGGTGGGAAGGTGATAAGCTAAAGAGATGTGCATGGTTTTACTCAACAAATACATAGTAGTAATTTTTTAATGTGACACTAATAAATAGGGATGTACTATTAAAGCCAATAGTCTATATTAATCTTTATCTCCCGGAATACCTAGCAAGCTAGCATACTTCATGGGTTTATAAGTTGTCAAAAACCTCCTCATATCTTTTCAATTTCATATATTACTTCGTATTAGACTTGACAGTTGATTCTTGACAATCGTTATTAGAATTAATAAAGAATACCAAACATGCATCATGTATACATTTACTCTTCACATACTTGAATACTCTAGATGCAAAACATTTCCCATAAATGAAACTCCCTCCGTCCCTAAATAAACTTCCCACTTTGCTTGCACCTTTCCCTATTTGGTTAACAAATTTATAGCAATTTATTCTACTATCCTTAAATATAACTGAAAATACAATGCAAAATAATGTTTAACAGTGCCAAACAATGTCAAAATAGTGTATTTTAAATTAAATTTACCCTTGGCATTTCAGGAAGTCAAAGGAAATAAATTATTTCCTTAATATGCGTGGAATTCAAATCCGGAGGGACAGAGGGAGTACTTGTATTCCATATATAAAAAAAACATCCGGAGAAATGTTACAGATTACCATTTACTACGTACTTTCTAGCCTTCCATGGTTTCACAATTCTAAACAAGCATTGCATAATAGGGAGTATAGAACAACATAAAGTGCAATAAAAGGAAGTCATTACTTCATTCTAGCAAATACGTAGTAGCTTTTAAGAGAATCTCCAAACCCCAAATTAACGTGCTCTTCTTCAGACAAGGAAAATGGGATTCTGAAATCCTGCACGTGGAACAAGAGGACCCTACTCCGACACGGCTGCGTTTGGAGGAGAATTTGTTTTCCGGCAGTGACTAGATGTTGGGTTTGATCCACAACAGGCGTCGTAAGGGCGACGGGGTTCTGGATTGAAAGATGTCGGCAGATATGAATTGGCGATGAATGGTCGTGATTGCAGCAATTTGGTGGTTTTTTCTGCAGAAGGAGAGAATGGTGGATGCGGACAAGAGGAATCTCCAAAAATGCTATCTCAGATCTCTGTTTTGGGCAGCTTCATTTCAGATCATTGAATCTTTCATAAGGTGGCTAGTAATAATTGACAATGTTAAAACTTACAACATCTACCGGCTGGTCCCCAACAAATGTAAAATTTGGGCCTTTTTTCAAGTTGCAACACAAGCAAATTGTCTTAAAATACAACTTACGAATAAATGTAATGATAACAATAGTCATTAATAACTTACAATTTATTTAAAAATAGACATTCTTCAAGTATATTTACATTTACGCAGGGGCGTAATACTAAATTTTTGTTTGGGCCGTTCAAAAATCCGGGCCCTGTGCGGTCGCACTGGACAGCCATGCCCTGGGCCGGCCTGCATCTACCCTTGAAAAGTCAAAATGGACGGAAGAAAATATGGGTAATTTGTGTTTGTACCAAATTGGACTTTGTACCACATTTTTAAAACTTTTTCCTTTTGCACCCCAAACTCATATGAAAAAATAATAATGCCCTTCCATTAACAATTTTGTTAACTTTCAACATATTCTTGATTGAGATCATTTTTGTTTTTTCATATGAGATTGAGGTGTAAAAACAAAGACTTTTAAAAACGGGATGCAAAGTCCAATTTAGATAATGATAATAAGGGGTGCAAACTCAAATTACCCTAGAAAAATACCTCATCCGTTTCAGTTTGTTTGACACACTTTCCTTTTTTGGATGTTTCAAAATGAATGTCACACTTCCTTATTTCCTTATTTGGTAAACAAATCTATACCAAAATAGTGCAAAACAGTGCCAAACAGTGTCAAACAGTGTTCTAATAGTGCCAAACAGTGTTCAAACAGTGTCAAAACAGTAAAATTTACCCCACTCAGTAAATTTTTCTCTTAAATGTTGACAAGTCCAACTGTGTCAAAGAAACTGAAAGTATGATGTCCGGTGGAGTGCTAAGACCACTTTCATCCTATTCATAATAATCATAAACTAGTTTTTTTTTTTTGAATCAACAAACTAGTTCTATTTTTGAAACAAGAGTACTTAAATTAAACTTTTAAAAGAACAACCATCCATCTATCCAAAGCTTCCCTCTCACACCAGTGGAAATACTTTCTCATTACCTAATGGGATATAGCATATATTGTCCAATACTAACTTACTAAGTAAGACTGATCGTTAAACATGTTAGAGATTCGAAACTGTTATCCGCTAGATTAGCCTGATTGTTTCCGCTCATTCTCACAACAAATAACACTCACAACTCACAATAACCAAATACTCCGTAGAAAGGTACTCCCTCCGTCCCATTTTACATGTCCTACTTTCCTTTTTGGGTTGTCCCAAAATAAGTGTCTCCTTTCCTTTTTTGGAAAGAAATATGTGGCTTACATCATTTCACTTTATTATACTCAAACATCAACCACAACTTTTACTTTTTCAACTACTTCATTAATAATCGTTTCAAGTCAAACCAAAACACATAAAATGGGACGGAGGTAGTATGAAATAGCAAAAAACAAAACATGAATGAAAAACAGAGCACATGAGTGCATATGACCAAATCCAACTGTGAATAATGGGTCTATAATTCTGTTATAATTAATGGGGTTAATCATTAATGTATTGGAGATTATTTAGCATTTGTGCTTTATTCTCTTAACATTTAATTTATTTTGTTCTTTTTTACTTGAGGATTCCTATTTAATTTAATCTAATTTCACAAATTCTGTGGTCTTCTTCATTAATTACCAATAAATTGGTTATAGGTTTCAGGCTAGTTGTTTTTAGTGTTTTTTCTATTCTATGTTAATGTTTTCCTACTTGAGCTAATTTTCTCATTATTTTAACATTTCAATTTTCAATAAAAGATTGATTTATATGTGTGTGTGTGTGTTCAGCCATTATTATATTGGGTAAAAGATATTAGTACAAAATTAAATAACTAGTCATCATCAGTGTGTGAATATATATATATATATATATATATATATATATATATATATATATAACTCTTCTTGTCAGGCCGGCCTGACGGGAACCTCCGTCTGGCCGAGCCCGTTTGGGCACCTTCCCGGTGAAATTTTTTGATGAAATTTTTTGAGCATGTTCCTCATCAAATCTAGTTTGTTCATACCAAATTTCAGCTCAAAATTCGATCGGGAAGGCATTCAAATCTGTTTTTGAAGTTGACTGCGTCAAAATATACATATAAAAACGCAGTCAACTTCAAAAAAAGATTTGAATTTCTTCCCGATCGAATGTTGAGCTGAAATTTGGTATGGACAAACTAGACTTGAGGAGAAACATGCTCAAAAAAATTCATCAAAAAATTCCACCAAGAAGGTCACCAAAAGGGCTCGGCCGGACGGCTCTCCCGGTCAAGCCGGCCTGACATGATGATTTCTCTCTATATATATGAAAAGTAAAAGAATTACAAGGCCGAGCGCAATGGAGGTTACCTTTCAGCAATCTACATTCTTCATTTTACAAAATGATAAAAGGCATGCATTCATAAATCCTTGATCTTAGAAAGATAAGAATAACCAAAAATACATATTCGATCAGATCAATGCCTCTCCCATTCTCACTTTTCACTTCTCGACCATCTCTTCATCTTCTATTTTGAACTTTTTGCTATAATGAACTTTCCCATTCTTGGTATCACCAACATAAGGCAACCCATCATTCTCAAACTCATTTTCATCATCACCTTTATAATGTGATGTGCCTTCTTTCCCAGACTTATAAGTTTCATCACCATAATAATGTGATGTCCCTTCTTTCTCAGGCTTAACTTCATCATCATCATCATCATAATAAGGTTCTTCATCTTTCTTGAGCCTAAACGCTGTACATGCCACCACATATACAGCCATTAGGTAGAACAGCATGATGGTATTGATAACAGAAGCCTTCCTCCAGCTGTTTTTCAGGCTGCCCAGCACACCGGCTTTGCATGAGTCACAGTTGTAGCATAGTTGCTCTGGGGCATTGTTCCATCTTCCACAGTCCTGGTCAGCTGCCCATGTTCCCCTTTGGGGTCTCCAGAATGTGTCATTCACATAACCATATGCACATGCCGTTGGCGGTTTGCAACATCCAGACTGCATAAGATCATGTCATGTTTTAGGGCATTGTTAATAAGGCACATTTAAGCCCGTTTGGTAATACCCAAATTAGCTGTATTGACTGATTTTGTTGAAAATTATGAAGCTCTGGCAGAATTTACTGATTTCGCTGATTTATGAAAAATTATATTTAAAATATATTTTACTAATAAAAAAAGAAAAAATTATATGAAAAAACAGTTAAACTGATCATCTAAAACAACATCTGCCAATACAACCAGAAACGTAACTTCAACCTTACTTTGTCTTAGCTTATTACTACACACAATTCAACGCGCAAAATCAAAAGTTACATGTTTGGTAAAAAAGTTGATTGAAAAAGTCTGATAAGCCAAAAATCTAGGTCACCAAACGGGCTCTCTGTGAAGTTAACAAATACGTAGTATCAACATGAAATTAGAGAAGCTATTTGCAATCTATGAGCCCGTTTGGTAGTGTAAAAAATGTGTACATATGAAAGGGAGAAATTGAGCATTTGAAAGGTTTTAGAGGGTTACAAAAGCCCTCCAAAATCATTGATCCCTCCATATTTAATTTAAAACTCTCAAATATGAAAGGGAGGGTCATAAACCTTTGTCAACCTTCTCCTCCTGTCCAAAACCCAACTCCTGAACATACTCTTACAATTGTCTCATATTTCCTTTTCGGTCCGTTTCACTACGATTATAGAAAAAAATTGCAATTTTACACCCGTAAGTTATGACTATACTCATTATTAGTCAAGTAACTCTACTTGGTTGCAAATTTGGTCCTATAAATAATAAATCTTTACCATTCAAGGATTTTACCATCGGAAAATACACTTTATGGTTGTAAATTCGCCGAAAAAGATGTCTCCGGCGCCGAAGAGTCCTTAAATTGCAAAACATTACGGAGTATTATTAGTTGAATGGTCAAATCTGCAACCAAGTAAAGTTACATGACTAATAACAGACATAACCGAAAGTTACAAGACTAAAATTGCAATTCTCCCAATATTATATTGTCTCGTACCAAATTTGGTAAAATTATTGTGGTTCTAAATCATTCTTGTTTATTCCTACTTGATTAATTCAATATCAATCACAGAAATCTACTTTTTTGAATAATTGTGTCACATCTTCATGTTCCAATATTAATGCGATGATGATAGTAATTTTTCGTGTTTATACTCATTCAGTAGTAGATCCAATACTCATTTGAATAGACTGTACAAGTGTACATGATGCAACCCTTCAAAGCTTCAAAGTTCAAATCTCGTTTTACACACTTCATCACGGTACCAAAGGAGCCTTAAGTTTTATACATTTGCTAAGCTCCATTTTTCTTCGATTCGTACTCTTTTTATTGGACTCAAGACTCATACACATTTTGTTCTTTAGTCATGTTTTTTACAGTTCACGTGATCATTTTTTCCAATCTGTAGTCATGTTATTAGCATGTACCACTACAAAAAAACACACGATTGGCATGAAAATTTGGCACGGATTACCGATTTTTCGTGTCAAATAGCTCGTGTCAAAGTTTTTTTGCACGAATTTGGCATAATCCCTGCCAAAATCTCTGTCTATTCCGTGTTTTTTTGGTAGTCTACAACTAAACAAAAGGTACCATACTAACATAGAAAATTTAGATCCTCTACAGGGGAAACTTCTAATTAATGAACTGAAGAAAGAGAAAATACTTAAATAGGATTAAAAGATAGATACAGGCATACATTGAACCAAATATGACTACCATTATTTTCTACTAGCTAGAATAAGACTCATTAACTCTTAATTGATGAAGTTTTAACCCACACTTTTAATAGTGTCAAATAAGTCCTTTTAAGGGGATTATTACAAGCATATAATAGTCATATTAGTACACTTTAATTTAATTAACTTGTAATCCTCATTAGCGATCAATTATGGCAAAATTATTGATCTCTTGATAGTAAACTAATTCTGGTGAACCCTAAAGTTGAAATATTTGGATTTACCACTAACCTGGTGACTGAGAAAAGGGCATATGTGTAATTATGTATGGTACCTCAATAGGGCTAAGCTCTCTTCTGTAAAACACAGCTGCAGTTTGAGGAATTGCATTACCACCCCTCCTCATCATACTCCCGCAAACCCCAGAACCCCTAACACAGTAACTGATCTCCCTCCAACTGCCCGGACTGGTGACCGTCTCCTTCAGCCACCGGTCCGGGAAATCCAGGAGGAAATACTCCATATACATCCGGTTCAAGACCGGCCGGCCCGTCCCTTCCGTGACGCCGTATGCGAAAAAGAGGAACCCGACGAGGACGACCATGATGCCGAACGTGCACCACACGTAGACGTAAATGAGGATGTCGATCCCGTAAAAGGCACCCGCGAAGCCTGCGACGGAGACGACCATGATCGCGACGGCGATCAGGATGATGGGCCAGTGCAGGAACTCGAAGCAGTCGGTGCTTTTAGCTCTGCTTCTGACCCACACCCCGCCGACCAGGATGGGGATGGCGGATAGGAAGCTTAAGCAGTTCATTAGGGCTATGCATGGGTTTTTGCAGCTATTACTGCTGAAGGCTAAGCTAGCCATTACCGATCGGATTATGTTTTCACTCTTTCTTTTTCTCAGATCAGCGCGCTTCCTGTGGTTGGTGAGTCTGATCAAAGAGCTTGGGAAAGGTTGGCTTTCTGGAAAGGCGTCAGTGACAGGTGAATTGAGTGGAAAGACCGTTAGGTTGTTGCATATAGGAGTTTATATGAGAATAACAAAGTTAAATTAAAGTTTTAAAAGATCTAGAGTTTGACACAATATTTAAGAAGGAAATAAGAGTTTGACACAATATTTAAGAAGTAAATAAGTAGTCATAGGCATGAATATAGTGTAGAACAAGTAGGAGAGAAAATGAACAAAGTAGAAAATAGAAGAAAAATACACCGTGGAAAATTAAGGGTAATTGACTATATATAGTATGTCATTATGTCAAGATCATTTTAGATGTTAAAGCATTTTTTGGACGAATTTTTCCCATCAAAGTTCTTTTATGGGATCATTTTAAGCCCCCACTAACGACCAATGTTTTTTTTTGCAGCTAACTAACGCCCATGTTATTTGACAATCACCATTCAATTCGATCATTAACTTTTGACTTTTACATTTGAGTTGATGACTTATTTGAGATTGTCTGGATATATGTATAGAATTCAGTACTTCTTTTATGAGATTATTATTATGAATGTAAATCTCTTTTAATCTATGCTGGTACACCGTATAAAATACTCCTTCCGTCCCCATAAGTCCCTAACTTTGTCCCATTTTACCTTTTTCGTCCATCTCATTAAGTTTGTCTCATACCATATTAGGAAATATTTGATTGGTTAAAATTCATTCTTACTTTATTCATACTTTATCAATTCAATACCAACCATACAATTTTATTTTTTCTTAAAAACTATGACACACCCCTTTGTCCCAAACTTAGTGGGACGGAGGTAGTACTACGTAAGTTTTTATCATTTTTTATTCATTTTGTTCAGTTCAATAAAGTTATTCTTAGTGTAGCTGTGGATTTTATACTTTAGAGCAGTTTTTAACCTTATACAATAATATGAGTAAACTAGACTTAATGAATAAGATGCTCAAAAGATTTCATCAAAACATTCCACCGGGAACCGCCCCAAATGGCGACGGCCGGACAGAACCTCCTATATAAGGACTTATTTGACCCATT